CAGTGCATAGTTGGATATACTTATCCACTAAGTATAAATTAACCTTGTATATAGAAAAACAAATGTCATCCATTTTATTACTTAGGTACATGCCTGGGGTAGATACCCTTTCGGATATGTGCTCCCCTTGGAATTGAGTTTAGCAAGAAACTACACAGATGGAGATCTTCCTTGGTCAATCGTCTTAAGGCTACTGATTCGCGATAGTGCTCTAAAGTAGTCAGTCTTCTCGTGCCCTTCGTGTCAACCCAAGTCCGGTTCTTATACTTTCCCCGACAACCTTCATGTCTTCCACCTGTGCATTTTGCAACAAATTACTGCACATAATTTTAAAAAAACTGAAAAAAGGAGATTAATTGACACTGATTGAAACTTATCGAGAGGGTCAAAGCGTATCCCAACAAAAAGTTTAATGCAACTTTTTGGGTTTCATTGACCCAATTGTCGCTTACGCAGCACACGAGGCATGAAACACGTCCTATGGTTCTCGCCTTATATTGGCGAGTATCTCAATCTTTAACTCATTCAACACCATTCAAATGGCCTAGACACCTCCAAGCTTCTCACTTCGATAATGCTCAACTCCATCTTCTTGGAGAAACTCACATCTCGCTTATAAAACAAGTCGTAACTTGATGGTGGTGTCCAGTGTTCACCTGTGTGCATTTATGAATCCCCTAGATGACCAGTTTAGCCTAGAACCATTGATTGCCCGCAATCCTACCCAGCAATGCAAGCGCAAATGAGATCATACCAAGTGTTTAGCTAGAAAACAGACATGATCTCCAGGTACTACTCATATGTATAAAAAAACCACTACGTTTACAACTAAACTAGACCTAACCCTTCTAATCTTCTTTGAGCATGACACTGCTCATTTATACGCATTTCTCTCTCCCTCCATGTTCCTGACATCATGCCCTTAGTACAGAAACTACAATATGAAATTGATATTTGCGTTATTGCATGAATACTTTGCCAGCAGTTGAAAAATTACATTGACCAGCCTTGTACTGGATGAAATTAAAAGGTGCTAATTTTACACCTGAACTATACCTAATTTTTAGCTATATATTCTTCCTGTAGGACTCCAGCCGTATATAAGCATTTTCCGTTCCCTCAGTTCCTACCCTTTAAGATCAAGTGATAAAAAAGTATGTCAATGTGCTTCATGTAGACAAACACAGTAACATGCTACAAGGTTTTAACACGTCATACTAGTAAAAAAAGAGTTTGATTTTATAATTTTTTCCATCTAATGGAAACAGGAGAGGAAGAAAGGATCCTTTCCGATGATAAGATGAATAAATAGGAAAAGATGAAGAGAAAAATATGTCGTCCAACTTTCACAAATTTTGTGTGCATGCTGTGCACACTTGCAAAAATATGAGTAAAACACGATTTCTTTCCAATATTATATGATCCCACACAAATGAAATGAGATAACAGTATATGAAACACAAGGTAAAACCAAATAATCTTACATGTAACTTGTCAAATATCAACAGCTGAATACTTTCCACATTCAATGAACATGTCCAATTTGTAACACATGTAAAAGCATCAATTTTTTTCTACTTTCAAAGACCACCACCAGCAACATCAAGAACAACCAGTGTTGTGGACGGCGAGAGGCGACAAAAGGCGACAAGGGCCTGCCTCGCCACGCGGCGAGGCGCTTGCCTTTTTGAATAAAGGCGCCAATTAATACCAAAAATTAAAAATATTTAACTGCATATTTTATCCAAAATCTTAATAGCAATAACACATATTAGCAAATATTCAATTCAAAAACCAATAGTAGATACTAAAATGTCTAAAACTTTAAAGACCAAACAATTCAAAATACAATAAACCAAAACTTTAAAAGTCTATTCTTCTTCAAAATTACCCTTGAGTGCCATAATTCCATCCAATGTCCCTCTTTTGCTAGCAACCGCCATTGATTATTAAATTCAATTAATTCGTTGTTTAGGAATATTGGAATAAATAATTAGAAAAATGGAAAGATTTTTTTTTAATTAACTGCCTATAATTAAAAAAAAATTACACAAAGCAGTAAGCAATTAAGCACTGCTTACAGCCTTGCACCAAAAAAACACAACTGAAAAAAACTGAAGAAGAAGAACAGAAAAAAATTGTTGAAGAAGAAGAGAGAAAACGACATACCTGGAGAACAGAGAGTCGCGAGGGAACAGAATCGTGAGCCGGCGGCCGACGAGGAGAAGGAGAACAGAATCCGACAGCGATGGAGAGTGAGGGAGAAGAGACAGCAATGGAGAAGAGAAGAGAACTGGAGAAGAGAGTCAATCGAGAGAGAGAGTCGCGATGGAGTTTCAGAAATTTCAAAAGTAATAAAAAACCCTAATTTTGACTAATATTTTTAATTAAAAAGGCAGCGCCTTTTCTGTCGCCATTGTAGCGCCACACCTCGCCACTCCTCGCTTTTTTGCTATCGCCTCGCCTCGGCAGAGAATGGCGAGGACCCATCGTCTCGCCTCGCCTCTCGCCAAAGGCGATGAGGCGCTCGCCTTTTGTAACACTGAGAACAACGCATCAATCCAAGCAAATCATTCTATCCAAATCCATCGTTCTAACTGTTGCTTAGACTCGTTGGCAAGCAACAAGACATCCCACTATACTTGATGAAAAAGTACCTAAAAATTTGTTCTTCATATCACACAGTAAATTTGCCTTGGACTTGAAGGTGTGAGCTGCTTCCATGAGCTTTCATTTTCTTTGATGAAGCATAAGCGTTTAGTACTTCACCGAATCCACTACAGTACTTTAACCAAAATGCTTCAGTGTATCCTAAATACTTCCAGGAATTTGTATCAATGGGCTGAATCTATTTTCCATTAGAGCAAGCAAATAGTTCCACTATCACCAACTTGAGACATCACAAAGGCATTAACGATTCATGTCTCCTTGAAAAACTTTCCTATCCAACTCTTTCCCAATACCCTCTCTACGATATATTCATGAAATTAGATGCCCCCCCTCCCCAGGATCAAGTACATGTGGTAAGCCTACTTAGGTAGGGTTCCAAACCTCAGTTCTTATCAACCTAAGGTGTGTATAATCTACATCTTTCTAGCTAGAACTAGGTCAAATAAGAATCATTGTTTCCCTCTGCTTTCAATTTCTTATTCATTGCATGCAGCCAAATACTTGTATAAGCAGAAAGATTTCCAGCACCCAAACCAAGTCTCACAATGTCACCAAGCACAGAGAGATGGTGCTATCAAAATTTATTCTCAGCAACGCAAATAAACTTCATCCAACCTATAATTGGAGAAGTTCATAATGCTTACTAATGAACTTTCTGACCTATGGCCATGAAACCTTATCAATCGTTCCAAATAATTAAAAGTCAGAACCTAATTGCCCAAACAAGCTTGAATTCTTACTTACTCTAATTATTAAAGTTCTCAACTTGAACACTAAATCTCAGAATTGTGAATTCTGCACCTAAACATTTAAAATAGAAAATCATGTAATATAAAGCAAAATAGGAACCCAGATAGCAGGTTGTAGCCTAGAAGTTAACTACCATGCAACACAATGCACAATAACACCATCGTAAACCTCAGTTTTCTTTCCAATCTTCCTTTTTCTACCACAAAAAGAACACCTTCCTGAAGAATGGCTGGGAGGGTCAAAAAAAAAAAAACTGATTTATTCCAACTGAGTGATAAGTAGGATCTCCATTCAAGCAACCACTTAGCAATTGTTCATTCTAATGTCTAAGGACTCCAGAAAGGTGTGGTAAACAGAGAAAGCACAAAAGAACAATAAACACCACAGCTTAGAATCTTAACTCCATGCCGTCACAGGGAGTATTTATTTCAAATGTCAGTTGAATACCAAATTCCTCCACACAAATACATAAACCTTAACAACTCTAACCCCTACCGATTGCAGTACATAGTCAGTTTAGGTTTAGTCAACTGAACTCCAATAATACTATAAAAAAAATGACAAATTTCTTTAGTCTATTAAAGAAGTCAGCGCAAAGAGAGAACTTACCGAGTGGATGCCGCAGGCGCGAAGAGAAGCCATAGAGGCGGAGGCGGTGGCGCCGACGAAAAGCGAGGCGACGGCGAAGGCTTTAAGTGGCATCATTCGACATTCGCCGGCAAAACCTCTCCTATAAGCGTAAATTCCCCATAGTAACTGACCTGTACTCGCGGCTGCCCACCATCGGTATCTGGACGTGCCGTCAACAGCGGCGTTTTCTTCGTTTTGGTTCATTACCGCTTCATCGTGTCCGATCACCGGCGTCGTAAGGAGCTTAGTAGTCGATTTCGGCTTTGTTCTATGGGCTTCCCGTTTGGGCTCACTGTTGGTCCAAAGTAGAAACAAGTTTTGGGCTCATTGTCAGCAGAACCCGTATAAGTAAGTGAGCGTTTGATCATGTTTCGTTGTAATTTTTTTAAAAAATAATAATTTTTGTTTTTGCATTTTAAGTCATACCAGCAATGCGTAACAATTTTGCTGCGATGTTTGAATTTCATATCAGTAAAATTCAATTATTTTTGTATAAACTTTGCCCATTTGTGGCCACACTCAATCATATTTGCTTGGTTAATCACGTAATCGTTGTAGAGTGTTGTAAGTACACAAACTTAACTTGTAACAAGAAGAATTCGAGCATTCACTTTATCTTATCATGTATGAAGTTGTTCAAAAAGCGAGTAGATGTGAAAAAAAAAAAGAATTAATAAGTGGATATGAGTTAAAATAGTGATGTCCAAATAGGATGCTCCTGAGTCTTGAGAATTTTTACTTTTGAGCCAAATAACTTTGATTTATTATGACTTAACTATCTATAGATTCAAACCATTTGAACTTGCTCGAAATATAGTACAATCCGCTCATTTAACACCTCTGTCTAAGATGAATAGACATCCAGAAAAGTAATGCTACAAGAATATTAGTAATTACAAATATGATAAACTCAAGGTTTCAATAATGGAAATATAAGTGAAAACAGTACACACTTCAAAATAGTATATAAAATTCAATGGTTTCAAAGAAAACTAATTACATCCAGCTGAATATCAATGCACAGCTAATCTTCAAAAGATCAAAATAGAAACAAAGACAAAGGAGACAGTGGTTTGCAAATAAGTTTTCTAAAATTATACAAGCTGTGTAACCAAACTAAAGTAGGTATAGTATTTCCATTTGGATGTAGTTGTCAACAACAACAAATGAATCTAAGGAACACAATAAGAGAGATAAAACCTCGAAGTTAATCTTTAGGGATCTTTACAAGTTTCAAGTTAGCACATCAACTGGAAAAGAATCATTATCATACTCGTGTTTCATCCATAACAGGTGTACTGCAGCCCTCAAGTAAATCACCAGAGCAAGGGTCTCAATTATGAGTAAGAGTTCTTTTAGTCTCATCAAATCTTTGAGACTCTCTCATCTTCATCCAGTAAAATTACACTACTAGTTGAAATAGATTAAGTAGTGATGCAGAAAACAAAAATGCACAAGGATTTGACTTACAACTGAAACAAAGTAAACATGTCAAACCAGCGGAAATAAAGGAAGTAAATGGCTGGTATATACCGTGTCCATCAGGCCTCTTTCTGTAATCAATATCTCTAAATATGCAAGAGTGTGTGAAGTGTGAACCCCTTACTCAAACTTAGGAGGTAGTAACTTTCACCATTTAAGCAGATCCCCCCTAAGGGCTAAGGGACCGTAACTTTCACCATATTCAAACACAAGCTAGGGAAAGAATAATTACAATATAGGATGCTAATATTAGACAAGTCTTTATAAAGGCAAACAAACTGATGAGGAGAAAGTGAACATGCTTCCTTTCCTACTACTTTTCTGCAACTTGAAATTGTGAAATTAATCCTTCAGGAAGATTTTGGCATTAAAGAGATACTATTAAACATGTGATTTAATAGTTAGTTGTACTTTACATAGATATAAGTATATAAAGACAACTTGCCAATATATTGTGACTGTTATTATCATACTCACATACAGAATATTATTAATGCATGAACAGAAGAGTTAGATTTAGATACCAGAAAGACTCACCCGCCTCTTCAGAGCTTCTTTGTTAGATATTAAACTTATTTCCCCAGCCAGTTTGAGCCATTGCAAGCAGGAAATGACCTGCAGGCTAACACATAAAAAAGCACCTGCTGAGCTTCTAGATAAGTTTAACACAATGCTCACGTTCTAGGGAGATGTTTTTCTTTTTACTACTTATCTATATCAAAGTTGTAAGTGAAAGGCACACTTTCAGCAGCATTGTAGTCCCTGAAGTACATTGATATTCCATAATATTAATAGTATTCAACTGATCAACTTTACTGCAGATAGTTTTCAATGTATCCCCTTAGTCCCACTCGCAAGATACAACTGGAAACACAAAAAAGGCATTTCTTTCCAGTTAGACAAAAATCTGATTTGGAGCATATTTCATCACAATCACTCAAGAAGATATTAATATTTGGCCCTTTGACAGTGAAACCATCTTCCTTTCATTGTTGAACTACTACCATTTTTTGAAAAATGAAAACAAAGGAAACAACTTGTTAGTCAATGGACAATTCCTGCTTCTGATTTTACAAAACTTATTAACACAAATTTACTCCTTCAGACAGCATAGATCAAACTTGTGCTGATAAATCTGGATAATTTGCACTTTTAATTATAATGGCAACGTGATAGTTACATCTTGTGTTTCAGTCACAAGCCATGCAATTGTTTTAAAATCTCACAATGAGCTATCAGGAGCAATAACACAAGAAGGATGTACAAGTCAAAATCTTTTCATTTGATAACCATCTAAAAGATTGACCAACAATAAGCACTCTGATGTGCCTTAGCAACTTATTGAGTCATTTTCCTTTGAGAAACTATCAGACCACTTTTTAGGGGCATCTGGATGAATGTCAGAGATGCGAGCCATAAACATTTTATCACTAGTGGCAACAATACTTGCAAGAGAATATTTATATCGACACCAATCCTGTTCTCTAAGCCACTTATGGAATCGGCAACGGGGCATAATCCTCTTCTCCAAGTCATAACATAAACAGGATGGGAAAGCACAAAGCTCCTTCTGTGATAATCCCATATCCAGGAAAAGAAATTTTATTTTTTGCTCAAGAAATTCAGCTTTCTGGTTCAGAATCTTTGGACACGTTGTAAGCATTTTGCAGAGTGTCGATAACTTAATTCCACCACGAAGTAGGCAATCAAACCGTTCCTGTAACTCATCACCTGGACCATGCAACAGAGACAACACTTTCATAGTCACCTTGTTTTCTCCAAAACCAATCCCATGCAAGAAATTTAATTTATGAAGGGTATGAAAGGGTGTTCTCGTCGCCTGAATTTTCTGCAAATGCTCTGCATAATCTTCGTCAAAGTCTTCAACACTGCCAATAACATAGTTACCTAAAAGACTATGACCACCATTTTTTAGTCTGTCAAAGAACCATTCATTTAGATCCAATGATCTCAAAACATGAGGTACATTAGCTATTCTATTTCTACCCATAATGTATTGGTATGTTTGGGCAATCAATTTTCGTTTATTTACACCCAATCCAAAATGTTTCAAAAATCCTACCGTCGAAATCATACGAACTTCCAAATCAAAACTCAAAATCTCAGGCTTCGATAGAACTAAAAGTCCAATCTCTTCTTTTCTCACGTCTAGTCTACAAAAAAAATCAATCTTTTTAGCCAAAACCTCTTCAGAGTAATCAATAAAAATGCTTTTATTTCTTCCCATCGATTCACCAATCTTCCCTTTCTCACAACCCAATTCATAAAACATTGCAATTTTCCTACAAATCTCAAACCAAGCATTTACATTTCCCTCTACAGAACTTGCAAGATCAAAATCCAGAAACACCCTTTTCAAATCATCAAACAGCATACCAATTTCATCCTCACTCTTTTCACCCAGGACATATGGGAAAGCTAGGGAAATACCAATAACAGCAACATTACAAAACCCATATCGTTCAATATACGAAAGCCTCTCTTCCAATTCATAAGGCTCTTTACTAAAAATTGAAACATCCCCTTTGTACAAAATACACAATTTGTTCCAGGGGAAACCATAACAAGCAAGAGAACAAGAAGCATCAAAAACTTTACTGTCTTCACACAAGAAGCATTTGTTCACATGCAACATAGAACTAATTTCTACGTGATTTATACCAATGCTCTCAAAGAAAAACTCAAATTCATTAATGGGGTGGTACCTTAAGAACCTCTGAATTGAATTGGGAAACCGATTACGAGAAAATGGGACTTTAGAAACAAGAGCCAAAAGGGAAAATCGCGAGTTTTTACCCATGTACTCAGCAAAACAGAAGGGTAAGGATCTAGTGCAATGGAAGTATTCAGTGAGTACTTCTTGAGCTTGTAAAATCGCTTGGGGCCTATATTTTGCTGGAATCTTGGACAGTGTTGGAAGCTTTTGGTGTGCATTTGTAGAGAAAAATTGGAGCTTGAGAGTTACACAGAGGGATTGAAGTGTTGGGGTTTTACAACGAGAGAGCATTTCTGGTGATTGGGTTGGGAAGTAGCGTTTCAGTAGTTCTATATAGAATTCAGTAGAAAAATGTTTACCTCCGGCGAGTATTGACGGAGGACATTCCGGTGAGTTTGTCGGCTTTTCTTGAACTGAACTGCACAAGGGATCGATCGCCAGTGGGTTTTGACTGTTTTGGAACAATTGAAGAAGTTGCAGTATCATCCCTGTAATATTAGTATTTGTATGTTTGATCCATCATTTCTTTCTTAAGTCATTTTGAGTCATTTCTATTAAGTTATACATATATGAGTTTTTTTTATTCACAAATTTGATTTAATAAATAGGAGGAAATATTTTTAGTCATTTTTAATAGGTCAAAAAACGCTATTTATCTTTTTTTTTAAAGCAATATTCACAAAATAAAGTAAGTTGATATTAATTCTTATTATCAAAATCTCTTCGTTATGTACATTTTACGTTATAGATAAATTACAGTTTTATAATATTTAATTCAATTCAAAACTTACGTAAAAAATTAATCTTAAGTTTAGAAAATCATACAAAAAGAATTTAATAGAGCAATAAAATTTTAAAAGAATACAACTTATAAAAATATATATTCAAATAAAGACAAAAAAAAATAGTCTAAAATATTTTAGATTTAAATTAAATAGATTGTGTGTGGAGGAAGATGTTGAAGACCTCTCATATTTTGACATCAAAACTTACCATTGGTTAAAATATAATTTAGTACCATTATGGTAAAATATATTAAGAATTATTTTCATTATATATTTATTCATTAAGGACCAAATGAGACTAAACCTCATACATTGAAGGACCATTTTGATAATTTTCTCAAACCCAAACACTAAACAAAAATATATAAAACTTTGTTATATCTTTCTCTTTCATCTCCCTCCATCTTTCTTCACTCTTCCCTTTCCTGTCCTATTATCCTCCAATGGCTAATTCGCAGCAAATCGAAACCTCCATAAACCCTAGCCCTAATCCTCCTCCTCCGGGATCCCCACCGCCGGCTGCCGCCGTTGTTTCTCGACCGTCAGATGATGAAACGAATCGTTCCGCCACCGCTAAACGTTCACGGGAGGAATACGCCCCTGCCGCCACGGACGAGGCTGGTTTGTCTGGTGACGATGTGCCGCCGTTGAAGAAGCGGGTTAAGGTTTCTCAAGATGTAGTGTACCGTATTGTTGTTCCTTCAAGACAGATCGGGAAAGTTATTGGTAAAGCAGGGCATCGTATACAGAAGATTCGTGAAGAAACTAAAGCTACTATCAAAGTTGCTGATGCTATCGCTGTGAGTTATGCCATTTCTTGTTCTGTGTTGATGTTTTGTGTTATTAATTGTTAAATTCTTGGAAGCTCGAAATTGATTGTATGCCAAAATTAGGGCTATTTTGCCATTGCATTTGTCCAAGTTTGAGAATTTGTGGAATCCAATTGAGAAAATTCAAGACAAACTTCGTTGAATTGAAGGAATTTGACTATTTGAGAAATTATTTTTGTTGAACTGTTGGCTGAATTCCCTATTGATCAATGAAGTGTGTTGGTATGAGATGAGCTCTAGTGAAGATCAGTGAGGATCATATAACTTGCTGCAATTTGGGTTTAGGATTGAGGCTTAGTTGTTGTTTGGCATGTTGGTTTTGGTTCTCAATTACTCAATGTCAGACTAAGCATAGAGAATTTACTTCTCTGTCAGTGTTTTGGAGAATGAGAAGCGGAAAAGGGGACAAGGGCTCGTTTCACCCAAGCGAGTAACCTAAAGCAGGCACACGTCTTTTCCAACTAAAGCACTATTTAGTACAAAAACAAAAAAATATTAAATATGCATAGATAGATATCCAACAGTTCAATAGGAATAACAACAGAAGGACATGAAAAATTTAGTTGGAACTGAAGTGCTCTCTTTTTCACCATTGCCTTTCTTCACTGCAAAAATGCATTAGCTTCGCTTCCTGCTTTCATCGCTCACTTTTAATAACACTACTTATGCTGTTATGCATTTGGTATTTGCAGCGTCATGAAGAGCGAGTAATTATCATTAGCTCCAGGGACAATGATGATATGTTCAGTGACGCGGAGAATGCCCTTCATCAAATTGTGTCACTTATTTTAAAGGTAACATGATTTATGAGTGATAACATATTAAGTCATTTACTTTGAGCATTTCCTGTTTATATATTAGCAAAGAGATGTTTTGTACAGTATGTTTTTGGTCTTCTTTCCTACATTTTATTATATGACCTTTTTGATCTGCCAATTACACAAAAACTGTTTTATCGTCTAATCCTTGTTATAGCTGGTGTGTCTTTACAATAAATTTATGAATCTTTTTCCTGCGTCTGGTGCCAAAACTTAAGTCTTTTTGTCTGTTTTTGGAGGCTTAAGGATTGCTTTCTTATTCTCATTCCGCAATTATTTCCAGTTTTGTCATAAGTGTGGCAATAATCTCTGGGTGTACAACTTTTGAAAAAATATAAAACAAAGCCCTTTAACATCAATTACTCTGCCAACTGTTTCTGGACCATCTGTTTTTGGTGATTCCTCTTGTCCTGATATCTTTTATCTGTGTATACATATATAGTGTGTATCTTTATATTGAATAACATATATAGTGCGATCTTGGGAACCAATTTTGAGAGACCATGATTATATCCTCTGTGATACTCTCTTGGATCTTACATTTATACTCCTGGGGGAGGAGATTAATTGGCTAAGCCATTAAGATTTTCTCTCTTTCTGATATCTTTGCCTTGAGAGTGGCTTATGTATATTAATTAATAAGTCATGTAGGTTTCTAGATAAAAGTTGAACCATCTTCTTCTTGAACAAGGTTGTCACAGCTGCTATGTGTGATTCTGCTTCTTGTTTCAAGGTTAAACCATGAGAGCTTGCCCTGGTTGCCCAGGGGGAACTGATCCTTGCCCTATATTTTTTACCATGATAGGATGATGGCAACCTTGATGCGCAAAAAGTTGGTACTGGACATGTGGCAGCAAACACGGTAAGGTTCTTGATTGCTGGTTCTCAAGCAGGTGGTTTGATAGGAATGTCTGGTCAAAATATTGAAACTTTGAGGAATTCTTCTGGAGCTACGATCACAGTTCTTGCTCAACATCAGTTGCCTTTGTGTGCATCTGCTCATGAGTCTGACCGTGTAGTACAGGTGAGAAGTTGGTACAATTGGCCATTTTATATTCTAAATTGTTTGCATGTCTATGTTTCACCCATTCAGTGTACTTATGGTTTCTTTGATGAACTACAGTGTGATAGATGTCATATTAAACCATTCATTTCTGAGGTAGATAGTGCAGTATATAGCAGTCAAATGTTAAATACTATGTATGAAACACTGGATGTCTGTCATAGTAAACCTTATAATTTTCTTGAGACAAGTGACAGTTCTATTCAATAAAACCTTGGCCAGCCCAGAAAAAGGTGCTGAGTTGGAAACTTTACAAGCATCAAAAGGTTGCTTAAACCCCTGACCAGAACCCTATACAATTATACATTGTCAATTCAAATATACTAACTCTCCTGCTCCCCCCACATGTTCTGTTTACACCCAAAAAAAAACACTAGCTAAGACAATTCATACTAATTTTCTCGATAGGACTGCTAGTGCCTTCAAATATCTACCATTCCTTTCTTTCCACACTTTCCACCAAATGCAATCAGGAATGATCTTCCACCAGTCCTCCTCCCCACCTCTACTCCCGATACTCCACCAATTGTTCAGCAAGCCAAAGTAGAACTAAGTATTACCCAAGTAAAACCTTATAGTTTTGTTAGTTCTACATTCTGATGTATTGCTTGTACAACGGTGTTTCCCCATCATTGATAGTTATTTTTAAAATCAAATGTTAGTTATTTTACCTTAAAAGAAAACAGGCAAATCTTCACCAAAAAAAGTAAACAGGCAAATCTTATAAAAAGAGCTATTGTTCAACTAACTTCGGTTAAGTTTCTAGCATTATTTGCACATGTATTCGACTTATCACATGCTTTCAAGGGTTCTCTGTCAACTGTAGCTTTAATCATTGTTCATTTGTCTGTTGTTAGCTGAAGTTGTTAGGCAGTTCTGGGATATCATGTGTCATGTATAACCTATATAGCTTTAGTCACTGTTCATTTGTCTGTTAGCTTGAATTTTCTTTGGCAGTTTTGGGACTGTTTTTCCTGTATGGGGAGATTTTTGTTTTGTCTTGGACTAATCTGTTTTTAGCTTATTTCTACCTTTTAAGAGCTTTAGCATTTTAAGCTTGTTTATTTTTGTTTTGCTTCCCAATTCAGCTTGCTGGAGACATCCCTGCAGTCTTGAGAGCTGTGGTAGAAATTGGCTGTCAATTGAGGTTTAGTAAATTTTTTTAATCAAGGAGGTTTAATAAATTTTAATTGGCATAATTAAGCTTTTTTTATCATTCTAAAACTATTTAATCCTAATATGTACATTTGACAGGGATAACCCCCCTAAACAAGTAATTTCGATCAGCCCGACTTACAATCTTGGTTATTCTCGTCCACCTCAACCACATGTGGATCCATCTTCAGGTAATCAATCTTCTCTTATAGTATATTTGAGCTTCTGGACTGATACACTTGATGCTATATGAAATTTGAGTTGTATAGTTATAATAATAACATCATCATTGGGACTACACTCTTGCAGCTGAATATGTAAATCTGACTATGTTAGTTCCCGAATCATTAGCTGGTGGGTTGATTGGAAGGTGCGGCTCCAATATTTCAAGGATCCGTGCAGAGTCTGGAGCGACAATTAAGGTGCATAAATTGCCTTGTCAGATCTTTTGGATTCATCTCTTGTTGTTTTAATGTTTGTGGTCTTGCTTTGTAGGTACATGGTGGGAAAGGCGAGCAGAAACAAAGACAAGTTCACCTTGGTGGTAGTGCACAACAGGTGAAACTTAGTTTCTATGTCTCACTTCTTTTTGGTGAGCTGCAGTTGTATGTCACCCTTTAGTTTTATTTGATAATATTGCTTATAAAATGGAACCGTCTTTGGAGTACTTAGTCTTAGAATAAGCATAAAGATCTTTGACTAGACTCTTGTAATTTAAATACCTTGGAAAAGGTCAATCAATGAGATATCAAGGGATTCCGATTGTGTTTAATATATTTTTCTGCTTAACAGGTCGCCCTTGCAAAGCAAAGAGTTGATGAATATGTCTATTCCCAGTTGATGTTACAAGCTGGTGGTGAGCAGTTACAGGATACAATGCAGCTCCAGCAGCAGTCTATGCAGCTGCAACAGTCGATGCATTTGCAACATTCAATGCAGATGCAACAACAAATGTAATTTTTTGTGTACCCTAACTCATAATTGGTGAAGTTTTATATAAATAGCTTAAGACTCCTGTCTGGCATCTAACTTTTCAATGTTGCTTGATGCAGACCCAACACATCTGCTACGCTGATGCCAGGATATAATCATGGTCATGGAGTTTATATGAACAGGTAAGTTGCATACAAATTGTCCTTGTAAAAGCTGATTGTTATCCCATTACAAGTATCAAAAAGTTTCTGGTAATTTTTTGTGTCATAGTAAAATGAGCGAAATTTTTGCTACAGTTAAGTTGACGGTCTGATACTGACCCTAAGGGTGATTATGACATTTCTTTCTCATGCTCCAGTGGACCTAATCATTAGCTCTTTCAGAGTTGGTTTTTGGGTCAATAACTTGGATGCTTTGCTAGGATTTCTTATCCACTGGTTGTAGACTATTTACTTTGCTAGTTGATGGAATGACAATAGTCTATCCTTGTATTTGCAGTAACCAAGAAGCTCATATGATGGCATCATACCCACAAGTCTACACATCAACCAACCCTCAAGCTCCCGGTTACTATGGTCAGTCTTATCCAGCTCCACAGATGTAGAAGCAAAAGGAGGTCTTTCTCATACATCTTTTCAATCAGATGATTGATATACACAATGTAGACAATTTCTTGTTGTGTCATTATTTGGGTTTCTGATATAAGCATTGGAGATGGTCGGTTTCGGCCAGGATGTCTCTTGTTGATGTTGCGACATAGTTTGCATGAGATCACTTAATTCGTGGAATATTGATGGAAAAGTTTATGCTTAAAGTTTTACGATCAGCGAATCTAGTACGCCTCTGGGAGCGGCAGATCTACTGAAGGGAGCTTATAGTAGCAGTTGCATTGAAGGTATAAGCATAGCCCTCTGGATCTTCTGCCCCTTTGATCTCCTCTGGTTCCACCCTGCCCGATCCTGCCCCTTGAAAAAGCTCCCAAACCCCGCCCTGGTTTACCTTTGCTGCTTGATTTTCATTTAGCTCTGTTGTTTCCATCAGAACAGAAACAGGTATGTGAGAGAATGCATTGCACATCAGACGCGGTCACCTCCCATTGAACTGATTTCTGAAGAACTTGTAAAAAGCACTTTGTGCGAATGATTTAGAAATGAGATGATCAGGAATGATGGATGAGGGGGGGCCGACGGAGAAGCAGAGCTCAGGACAACAGCAAAAAGATTGACACAAGTTCATCGGTTCAATTATTTCTTTTTGGCTCCCAAACCATTCAAATCCCATCACCCCATCTATAGCGTGTTCTTTACCCCACCTCCCACCCCGCCCAGCACCATCATGCATATCATTCCCCTAATCCTGTGCAGCATTGTCCCCGTGTATACGCGCCCATAAGATACACTGCCATATCTTTCATTTATCTTTGTATTTGTTTGGTTGAAGCTGATTGACATATTGCGAGTCATCTCTTGCAAAACAGGAGTGGTGTTTATGTTCAGCATGGTATACAGGTCTTTTGATTAATCCTAGTCGAAAATTTAATCCCATACTTGAAAGCTCTGATAATTTTTCAATCGATGTTGCCTGATATCGTTGAATAATTGTGAGTGATGTTGCTAGATTTCTCATGCAAATGAGTAGTTTGGTAAAAAAAAATTGACGACACAAACAAATTTGGGGCTTTGCTTTGAAAGTACTTCCTCAAAACTTGTTGATGAATCAAATATGTAATGGATATTTTGTTGGACTGATTAGAAAAATAATCTCTGCATTAACAAAACGGTAGGTTGAATAAATTGTCACTATGTTATGCTGTTTAGTTGGTAAAGTTGTACATTTCATGATTATAATATGAAATAGGATACATGTAATGTCACTGTTTAGTTATCATTTTATTCGATACTTAAGAAAGGCTAATAACATTATGCTGTAGACACTTAGAAAATAACATGTAGTAACAGAGCAAGTTAATTTTCTAACTGGCACAATTTCTTTCAGTTTTAATTAGCAAGAAAGAACTAGCAAAAACCAGAAAATTTGTGGGGAAAATTGAATAACATGAAAGAAAAACTGCTGCTTTAACTTTCATCTATAAAAAAAATTTAGTCCAAAGATAATATCACTTTCATCTATCCCAAACAACAAACTGACAAGAAAAAAAATTAAAAAGAGCTGTGCAGTAAAAACTATTTGAATTACATATTTTATATCTAATGGAACAACTCTAGGAACCTTCGGTTCTGGGGGCCTTAAGCAAGTGGCCTATGGGTAGAGCCACCTGAGAACAAATTCTCAAACAATTTGGGGGCCATTTCCGGAAGATTTACAGGCTGATTAGGAGCCATAAAATTGACAATCTTTTCATGAATATTGTACCTACAGGAACAAAGATCGAACTTTATAATCCAGGAAATCAAAATGCAACCTTGTACAACATAATCGATAATGAGTTACCGGATTTTACGACTCTTTGAAGCACGACGATCAACAATTTTTCGTTTCTTTGTTTGTAGTCTCTTCAATGCATAGAATGCTGTCTCTGTAGTTCATACACAATTGGTTAGTTGAAGGTGTTCTTTTTCCAGGAAGCAAAAAAGCCTAGAAATGCATTCTCAGCCAAACACAATAACTATATCGTATAAATACATTTTCTGAGAATGCTCATCTGTAGCTGTAATCTTTATGAACTTATTTCATGCTGTATACATGCAAATTCGAGTAAAAGCAGGGACCTTTCTGAAAATGACAGATACAGAATGCATGTGAAGAAAGCAGGCAGCATTCTTCAAGCAACATAGTAACCTAAAAAAACCATTTCACATCGAATGATACCAATAGCTGACATGTGATGGTCAAATCATAGGAGAAAGACGGAAAAACATTGAACATGATGTTGAAGGTATCACATCAAAGGTGAGGATAACCACGTTTCCCTAATAACATAAATCACCATAGATAGAGGAAGGCGGTACCTCTGAAACATAACCAGATTATTTTGCAGAGGGTGGAGGGGATTGTTCAACTTACCAGATGATGCGGGATCTACAGCCTCAAAGAACTCCCTCAGCAATTGCTGATAGAATTCAGAGTCATCCAGAAGCTCCGGATCACCATCCATGTTTGTTCCCTGATCCAAGTTAAGGATAATGAGACGTGCTTTTTTTTCCTAAAGAATCCATGCAAGAGCATTCTCAAGCAAAAATTAATGCATTTGTACATGAAGAATGACATTTTCCACAGCATAAACCTGACAAAGCTAGTCGCATGCCTATATTTGTCTAAGCAACACATTCAACAAGGAGATTTACTGGTCTACTCTTATCAATTGGACTTGAACAGCAATCACTATTCAGGGCCAAAAACTGACAAAATGCATATAACACATTGATACCTCTCCATTGCCAGTAGCATCTGGAACCTGCATAAAAGCAGGCACATAAATCAAAACTAAGGAAAACAGAAAAAAAAATTGTCATAAACATTAAGAAACATAGCCGTCCTCAAATCAACTCAGAAAGTTAGACTTACAGTTCCAAATAGTGCAACTGCCGATCTACTTTGCTGCATTCCCTTTATCATTTTGCTAGGATCTCTCATATAACCAGCTACTTGTTGACTAATATCCTGTACCATATCACAACATTAATTCAAGACATTGTGATCATTGCTGTACATAGCATCTTTCAAGTCCCAGAAATAAACCTGATTAAATGCTTGCAATTTGCCTTTGATCGCGGCAGCACCAGAGGTCACCTGGGTCTTTCTCTGCCATTTATCTATCGATTTATCCCTAAAAGCAGCCATCCTATGACACAAGAATTGCCAATAACAGGCCAATCTACTTAGCAAAGGGAGAAATGGAAAAACAAACTTATCACATGAGAATGCAATGCTGAGAAAAGGCAGGGTATTAGCTACTCTCGAACCTAACTTTTGGAGTTAAGAAAATGCTCGTAGTTATGCAGATTTTGTTCCTAACAAAGATGTATATAAAATCTGACTCCAGATCAACACTAATAATGGGATGCAGAACCTAATTCTTCACAGGGGAAGCAAGATCCAACCTATTGCTTAGAAGAATGCAATAGATTATGAGAAATAATCGCTAGAACAAAAGCAATCGAAAAGGTAATCTACAACATTCGAGGACTTGTGGCCCCAAGTTTCCACACCCTCCGGTTTAGCCAATTAAATTAGCAGCGCCAACATGGATTAAAAATCTTGATAATGTTGCGATCAAGGTTCTTCCCCTCCTTTTTCATTTGATTTCCAGTTGTGTTTAGCTCAACAATCAAATGGTAAAAGCAAATTGCTATCTTAATTAGCCCTCATTAATTCAAATGAAAACTTATACTTGCTCTACCCCAATTTGTACGAGTCTTTCAATTTTGGGAGGACCAAAAATATTTGACACCAATTTCATTTCTACATGACTTTCAGAACCTTCAAGAAGTCCAAATTCCAAGTTTTAAAGTGTGGTATGATATTTATTTCTGCCAGCTAACTTCTTGACCATTGCTTTATATGCTCTGCACTATGACTAATATATTGCCAAGTCAAATTAATATCCTATACTCTTCATAGACTGTCATATAAAATGTGACTTGAGGTGAGTATAAGGTTAAACAGGAACTTACATATGCATGTTCATATTTTGCTCTCAGCTCTCTAGAACAAGACATGTCAGACAGACAGGCACAGACATGGAGTGAAAGCATACATATTTGGGAATAGTAGAAAATAAATAAGAACAAGATAACTTGTATTTCTCTTGGAGTTTTAAGTTAACTGTGACACAAGTCTTATCTTGCTCTTGGGGAACTGCACATTCAGACATGTCATACAGATGGACAAAGGCATCCATGGAGTAGACACATAGGTCCTGGGAAGAGATAAATAAGATAAATGAAAAGAAATTGGTTTTTCTTGCTCATAGGCAATGGAAACTTGAAAGTGTGCAAGGAATACGAGGTAGAACAAAGTGAAGATTGCGCCCACCAAATTCTGTTACCTCTCCCACTTAGGCCTTAGCCTCTTCCAGCACCACTCTCTTGCTCATTTAGATTTAGAGTAAAACACAAAGAGAAATGCACTTTGCATGCGAATATTTCGCTCAAATAAACTATTATACCAAAATTTGGTTCACGTTCAAAATCATACCCGTGTTTTAAATTTGACAAAAAACAGTTACAAAGAATCAGGTATTGTCGATTCACATTCTGCCAATGATGTGATCCAGCTTAGGCTATACTGGTGTTCTAGCCCAGCCCAGATAACTAATGTTCTGCTTAAAAAGAGTTCAGGCTTAGCTTCCAGGAATAATACATGCCAATCCCCTTAAATTCCTAGGCCATCAAAATTGTGGCACCTGTAATTTTCTTTTTCTTTGTTGATAAGAGGAGCACTGATAAACATCTACTGGCTGTGTTGGCTGAATTTCCACCTAAATCACACTCTTCTTCCTAGTTTTAACTGTTAATGTTGGAAGTTCCTCCTGATTTGTCATATAAAACATGTATATCTTGTAGCAAACAAATTGAGACCGTGATCTAAAGCAATGAAAAAAAATTGACAGACAGCTATAAAACAAGGGATGTGACAATAAGCCCCAGTTAAACATTCTTACCTTGAATGCATTTGAGAAATCTTCTGCCAATCATCATCAACTTCACCTGACTTTACAGAATCTTCCAAAAGCTTCGACCTTTTACCAGAATTGACTTCAAGAAAGAAAATTACAGAAACAACAACCAGTGAATATGTTAATTCCGAAAGATGCATATGTTGTCTTTGAGCTATGAGGAAAATTGATGGTCATTAGGCGCTTAAATATGAAAGATGTGCAAAAGGTCCAGGACTTGATTTTCCAGTTTGGAAACAATACCAAATAAGGTGGCATATGAAAGGATTTCCAGGAATTCTTTTTCAGTTAATTACAGACAACAGGGGATTATAGAACTTTTACTTAGAGATCACTGTTTAGAGCTGCAACATAGAAGCAATCGGTTTCTTTTGCAGGTCTTGAAAATCTAGCAAATATCTGACCCTGTATAACCTAATCTATTTGGTTTTTTAAAGCAAGTCCTCTCAAGTAGTCAATACCTTGAGTTGAGGATCAGATTTTAATAAAGAGCATCTTGTTACATCCTAATTTTACCAATATTTTACTACTACTATTATTAGATTATTTCAAGAAGGAACTTCAGATTTTCAAAAAACTCAAGAGCAAAGAACATTTACTCAAGAGTAAAGAACATTTAACACTCAAAGTTTTAGTATGGAGGCAGCTCTTCAAGTTCTGCAAAATCAAAGCTATATGTCATACCATCCATTGATTTAGTAATTGATGGATTCTTCTCCAGTAGTACCTGTCAAATGGCAAAATGTGCTTTTATAATTGGTTAAAGGCAAAGCTGGATTGTATTAATCTGAACAAAAGATAACACTCCCTTCATCCTACTTCACGAGACATATATCCACTATGCACAACAATCAATAAATCAGTTGACTTTGTTCGACCCAGGTTTAAAAAATTTTATTACAAGACAACAATTTTGAAGTTTGTAGAGCATTTGACAAGAGAATATTGCTAACGGATCATAGTTTTATCGAGGTGCTTGCAATATGGTTATCAGTGACGTGTTTAGGATATATTGGGATATCAAAGTGGCAACCTATCACATAATGGGACCGCTAGGGAGGAGCAATGGTCAGGTTTCCAGCAAAAGAAAAGCATACTAATCTTTTGTTACTCCAAAAGAAAAATGACTATGAAGTAACTGTTCTCACTGTACCTCTTGCAATTCCAGTATGGAATCCAAGGTTTTTCTGGAAGAGGCAATGAGATCTGTATATGCATCTTCAACTGTGTCCTCTGAATCACAAAAGGAAGACCTAATTGGTTCCTGCAGGCGATCAACATGCATTTAAGTTCAATTAGTCAATATCATGAATCTAGTGCTGGTGTTGAAACAAAATGGTAAACCCAATGAACCTGTGGAAGTCTATTGGCGTTCGAGAAAGCCTTTTGCAGCAAGAATCTTAGCTCAAGTGTCTTGTCCCAGAGAGCCTTTGGGAAATTTAAAGAGAGAAAAAAGGAAAAAGTTAAAAACACAATTTATTTATTTTGATAGTCAATAACATAATTTTGACAATTACGTAAGACAAGCTTGGACAATTCAAGTAGGAGATCGGCAAGTCATTAATCATGTACCACACTAGATCGAATTACTAGTCAATCATCATATTACTTGAAAAGAATAATCAAGTAAATGATATTAGCACTATAGCTAAAATTTCAGCCATTGGCAAGCCAAGAAGCAATAGAAGTATATTTTACATGCAACTCAATCATATAGTATCTATTGGAGATACAACATAGATATCAATGGAAAACATACAGGGGAATAAAACTTCCAATCACATGATAGCCATTTATGTTCCCTGTAACCAGAATTTCTTTTAATTGAAGCAACATGACGTGTGCATATACAACCAAAAAAAAACAATAGTAAGAAGATAAAACTAACATTATCGTCTGTGCAATCTGGTACACTATACCTTCTGGTTTTTAACTGCTTGACCTTTGAGAAGATCCTCATCCTTATGTTGCGTCAGATTCTTCAAAAGATCTCTGTGCACATAATAACCGCCAAAGTCAAATGTCTACCAATAGTAGGCATGAGTACCATATCTTTAATAGTGAGAACTTCCTACTTGTTTTACTGCTGATATTATTTATATTTTAGACTTGCTATATGATCATCAAGACTTGAACCAAACTGAAGAAGGAAACTGGGCTGAAGCTTGATAAAAATATGATGCGAGTTATTTAATAGTCGAAAGACGCATTCAACTGTGAAGAACTTTGATAAATTGTGATGGAAGTTCTTTTAATACTAGCTAGATGTATCTTGGATGGATTGAATCCACTATTAAACAAGTGATCTTATAAATTGTGATATAAATCATTCTTCAGCTCAGAAGCCTTTGTGTCTCTAATGGGATTAAAGAGCAAATATGTACTTATTAGGTGATAAGTTCAACTAGAAATATTCCATAAAACTAAGCTATGTTGTAGAGAAAGAAACTTACTGTTCCTTGTGCCTAAGCTCCATATATTCTTTCTCAAGTTCTTCCATTTCAGCATTTTTGTGTTCCTCAGTCAGTTTTTCTCGCTCTTCTTCTTCTTGATCTCCTTCCTCATCTTCCTCTTCCTCTTGTTCTCCACTTTCATCTTCATTGCTGTAATGATCGACGTCATCGTCATTGTCTGTATAGTCATTGTTTTCATCACTGTCGTCATCAAAGTTCTCGGCCTAAGCAAATCACAGAACATTTATCATTTGTAAAATATTTGAAACAAAAAAAATCAAGGATAGAACCATATAAGTACCCATGAGGGATTTTAAGAGAGAAAAACTAACATCGTCTGACATCTCATTTAATATTTCATCATTCTCAAATTCAGAGTTGCTTTCACTCTCCTCTACTTTCCTCGATTTCTTCGAAGACGTGCCCATTTTCCTGCCTCCTAAATCTGAAGAAACAAAAAAAGAATTCATCATTTATCAATCGGGTAATTACACTCGCGACAAGACAAAAACACAAAGCCTAATTTTTTGAAAACTAATATGTAAAAGGTAGAGCTGGAAATCACGAGACACACTCTAAAGTCCTCAAGATGGCAATAGGCGTTTCATTTTCACAGGGATAGCACTTCAATATGTGAAGTACTCTCCTTGTGCAGTATGTCATGACATGGCTCAATGCACACTTCTTTTACCCTTATGGTGTCCACCTTTACGCCCCCAAAAAATCTTATTCCTTGGGTGTTCACCTTATGAAGTATGATACTATCTCTATCAATTCACAATCTTGATAGAGCAAAGTTTACTCCTTTAGACATATTATCGAACACATTGTCTACAATACAATAGTTGGGGTCCTTAGGAACCAAAAAAACATGATATCTGAAGCTAATTACTAGTTTCTTGATTTCTGAGCCATAACCACAAGAAAACAAATAGTAAGCATCAGAATTAAACTAGAAAAGCAAAAATATATGTATAAATACATGTGTTGCAGTTAAAGCTTCTTCTTTTCCAGCTTTAAATCAACAAGTTATAACGTTTAAGCTTAAATTGAATGGAGAAGAACCAACTAGGGTTTTATTTAAGCAGTTAAAGAGAAGTAGAAATTATTACCAGATGAATATGAAACTCAGCCACCAAATTCTTGAGGGAGAAAAACAAGGGTTTAAGAATCCTAATAATAAGCCGGTCACCCTTTATTTTTACCCGATCCATCTGTTAACCCGGATTTGACCCGGCCCTGCTCCAAACCCGTTATTTTCGCTGAACCGTACTAATCATTTGAGTTAAATTAGACATTTGAATTATGACTTGTTCAATCGAGCATTTGGATACATGATATAGTGTTTTTATTAGACACACTATATCCAAGTGAATTAGTATGTATCTGAAACATATAACAAATCTCTTTTTGTGTTGTTTTGAAATGTTTATAATTTACATAAATTAACTACTCAAAATACATATGTTAATTTTTAGAAATTAATCATTTAACTACACAATTTTCTCTATAAATAGGTTTGATCTTAAATTTTTTTCGTTGAAAATCAAATTTATGTCTATCAAGAGATAATATCTTTTAAGTACACAAAATATAAATCATTGTAAATAAAATTATTTACTATTTTAGGAGGTAATTACTTAAATATACTCTACTTTGTAATTTTAGGAATCTTATCATTTTGGTGTGTATGTTTATATACACATATCTCGAGTCGCATTGGGCAAAATTAGATGTAATTTGTTTTAGATATACTATATCCAAGTAAATTAGTATGTATCCGAAACATATAACAAATCTCGCTCGTCTCTCTTGCTTCCCTCCCTTCCTCTAGCTTGTCACTCTCGTATATATCCGATATTTAGATACATGTAAATCACGCTAGATACATACAGAAATATGAATGTTGTATGTACCCAGTGAGATTCACATTTATTTGTCATACATGACCCAGGAGCCTGTTTGAATTGGCTTTTGGCTTTTGATTTATTTTTATCACTTTAGCTTATAAGCAACTCTTTTAAATCATCCAAACACTCTAAAAGTGCTTAAAATATATTGATTTAAAAACACTTTAAATAAGTTAATTCAAACAAACTTTAAGCGTAAGTACTCTCACAAACCTTGGCTAGTTCTATTTAGTAAAAATACAGTAATTTAGGGACACAAAATAACAGAGCATACAACTTGTGCTATTAGAATATTTATCAGTGCTTTAACTCTTGGCTTACCTTGAAACAAATCAATATATAGAACACATATAAAAGATATAATTATAATACTTTGTGTAGTAAGCTTATTAGACTTTTATTGTAGGGTAATCAAATACAAAAAAAAAAATGGAGATGCAACAAAAATACGAAAGTAAAATGTGAATCTCACTTTGAAGCTGTTGAATTGAGGTGAGCAGATAGTTACGAAAGGCTGAAATGATAAGACAGATTACATATGAAAAAATAATAATCTACGATATAATAATTTCTATGTTAGAGATCAGGATACTAACACTTAGCATCTGACCCTACTAAGTAAAAATTGTCACTTAAAATATTTTATGATTGGTAAGAATAAAACGCTAATTCAGTAGTACGCAAAAAATTTCCGAATCTGGTAATTGAGAAGCTTTAGCCAAATTGTCCTCTCTTTTATGTAAGATTCATTGTTCTTCCTGATTTTACGGTAACAAACTTACAAAAGAAAAAAAAGACATGTGATGTTATTTTTCAGTTTTTTGTTTCCATGCATAAGGACTTCGCCATCATAGTTCAATTTTGACTATGCCTATATAAGCTTCTACTAAAGTTGCTATGTTTTATTTCTAAATTGAAATTTTAAGATACATAATTCCAACAAAATCATGTGCAAGTACTTGACAATGATTACTATGGCCACTGTGACCAATTTGAAGAACATTTATGTCTTACATTTCTTTGGAGAAACATTTTAAGTGCAAAAAGAGATTTGTGTAATACACAAAAGCAGATGCTCTTGTTTTCCCACGTATATGCAATATTATCATCTTCTCCATTGCCATGACATTGTACCATTTATAATTTACTATTGTAAAAATTATATATTTTATATATTACGTCATTTTTTCTGAAATGATGATCCTTTAATGTTGGTCTTGTGCTTTGCACGGGTCATGCTCTATCTAGTATTCAGTTGTAAGATGTATAATTATTTTAAAATATGAATAAAATTTAAATGGGCAACTTTCACATATAGCAAACATAAAATTTATATTTATATCCTATAGCAAAGTTTGCATAATTGCACTCAATAGCAAACATATAAATGTATAATTCGCTATACATATACAATAGAAGCGAATCGTATAAAACCAGATAGAGAAAGAGACTTGAGCAGAGAATTGTATAAAAACAAAGTGTATAAAACGAATTGTATAATCATAAGTGTATAGAACAATTATATACAATTTGAATTTGTATAAAATGAGAAAGAGAGAAAGGCAAAAGAGACTTGGGCAGGGAATATACAATTGAATCGAATTGTATAAAACGATAAAGTGAGAAATTACATACAATTTGAATTTGTATAAAACGAGAAAGAGAGAAAGGCAAAAGAAACTGGGCAGGGGAGTATTTTTATTGTATAATTATAAGTGTATAGGACAAAAATATATGTATTTGCATGTGTACATACAATTTTCTCTCGCTTTATACAAACAGAAATGCAACTTATACATTTCGCTTCTGTTTGTATAAATGAGAGAGGCGAGGGTGGAGAGCGAGATTAGGGAGAGTGGCGAGCGAGATCTGGGAGAGGGGAGAGAGGAAAACAAAAATATATGTATTTATACAATTTTTTCTGCTTTATACAAATAGAAACAATTTTTATACACCTGTGTTTGTATAAAAGTGAGAGGAAGCAAGCGAGAGATGGAGCGAGATAGGAGAGTGGCGAGCGAGAATTTGAGGGAGTGAGGTGACTGACAAACAGTTTGCTACGGAACACTATTAAATCAAAGAATAATTATAACAATTAATTTAATTTATTAATTTATCATTATATATAATTTTCCCAATTAAAATTAGTACATCTCCTAAACTTATCCTGCATTGAACGGCCCAAGTTCGAGTCATGGGCCGTAAAAGTTGTGCAACAACAAAAATCTCTCTTTTTTAGTGTTTTGAAAAAACTTTCTAACAAACAATATTTTACTACAAAGTATTAAACAAAAATACATTCAAAAGTTCAAATTATGTTTTGAGACTTTGGTACTCAATGAGAGTAATAATTAGAGGTTGTGTACCTCTTTACCTGAATTCAGTAAACATCAAACTTATACGATTAAGTTATGACATTGATTTTAAATTCAACTCGCGTAAATAATATATTGTGGGTGTATCACATATTAAGCATAATAAAAATGAGAAAAAATTGTATCTTGACAAAAATGAAAATAGATAGTATTATACTTACAAAATGTGAAATATTTACTACTATTCACTATCACTTAATTCAATCAACCGTCGGTCCAAAAAAAAGAAAACTTCAAATCATGTCAAAAAATTGAAAAGTTAAATCATCTTTTGGATTCATCAAACTTATTGATGTAAAAAGACAAAAGAAACTTAAAATAATTATTGATCAATTTTAAAAAAGTGAAAAAATCAAATCGGTGTGACAAATCCGTTTTGCATTAAAGTGAGCTAGAATTTGCTTTATCATCTCTAATATTGGCTGAAAAGTGTCGTATTTAAAAGTAATCCCTATAATAAGCTATACAAATTTAAATTTAATTAAGTATCAATACGAATATCAAATACGAAATAATACTCTGACAAAAAGAAAGAAGAAGGGAGGGACCTCCTTCACGTGAGGATCACATGGATATATATAGCCAAATAGAGAGTTCAAGTTGTATTATGTAAAGTTATTTTCAAGATATATAAAAAGTAATGATTTGATGCTTGATCGAACAATGACACCCCAATTATTTGATAGGAACCCTCAAGGGGTCCAACAAACCACATGATTGTTAGCCAGGGGATAGAGTTATTGTATTGTATTACTTTCAGTTTCGGATTTAGTCGGATTTAATAAAAATATGGATAAATAATATATTTTTTTGAGCTAAATGATAATTTGTCCCTTATAAGTTTTTAATGATTAAAATTCATCAAAAATATATAAAAACACGGATATATAATAGGGCTGATTCAATAAAAAGGTGACAGACACATTATAGATTTTTGTCATATTTTTATATTCGCCTCATTTTTTGTCACATTTTTGTATCCGCTTCATTTTTGTCACATTTTTGTATCCGCCTCATTTTTTGTCACATTTTTTGTATCCGCCTATTTTTTTTGTCACATTTTTTATATCCGCCTTATTTTTGTCACATTTTTGTATCCGCCTCATTTTTTGTCACATTTTTGTATCCGCCTCATTTTTACATTTTTGTATCCGTCTCATTTTTTATCACATTTTTATATCTGCCTATCATCGTCATTTGACTTAAAAATAAGGGATTTTAGGAATTTTATAATCTAATAGGAAATAAGGGTAATAAGTGAACTTAAACGAAAATTTTTTATCATTTTTTCTAAAAATATTTATAAATTTAAAATTCAAAAATAATTAATTTATAACTTGTGATTTATAAAAACTTTAAATTTTTATTAAACATGTTGACAAATCAAATGTGTTTATAATATAATTCGACCGGATAATAAAAACTTATGCAGAATGGCTTATTTTAAATATATTTTAACAAAAAAATACTTTTAAGCAAATTTATACTATCAAGTGCGAAAAAAAGTGTTACAATAAAATAAACAATGTTTTAAATTATTATAATATGATTAAGTCAAAGTTATAAGTTAAAGCATGTTTTAATTAGATGAGCTATAGCTTATTATTTATGTCGCGCATTATAAACTTTGCAAAAAGTTGAATTATAATTTTTTGATTTATTTTTTATTATTTTAACTACTAAATAGTTTTGGAAAAGGGAACATCAAATCAAATCAAAATGAAGATAGTGATTATCTTGTCAAAGTTTGTCGGGACTCTCTTTTGGGAATTATTTTTAAAAATTCAAAGATATAATAATAGAGTTTAATTTCAACTTAAACGTACATGAGAATTGAGATGTTAAAGTAAAACAAGAAGTATATTTTTAACCATTTTAAATTTTCAAGCCAAATAATATTTAAAAATGCTAAACTTAAAATCACGACCTATAATTTATATTACATTCGAAGTTCATAAATCTCAAACTCTT